TCAAAATTTCAGCTTTCCAGCTTTTCTGGTTACCGAGTTAGCAATTTTCCCGCCAAAAACTTCACACGCCTGTACTTGGGTACTCCACGTGCTTGGAAAGCTGAATTGCAAATTTTTAAATTGCACGCGGACAGGGAACATCCGCCTAAAATTTCTGTCCTCTAGCTCTTCTGGTTGTCGAGTTAGTAATTTTCCTGCAGAAACCTTCATACGCCCTTACGCGAGTACCGTGCATACCTGGGGGCCGAATTTGAAATCTTTAGCTAGTAAATGTACAGGGATATTCCCTTTTCAAATGTCACCCACTTTAAAAAAATATGCAAATTTTTTGATGGGAAAGCGATCTCGGGAACCACATGAACTAAGGGGCTGAAACTTTGAATATCCCTACAATGTTTCAGCCCCTTAGTTCATGTGGTTCCCGAGATCGTTTTCCCACCAAAAAATTTGCATATTTTTTTAAAGCATGCGTACGCGGCACTCACGCGTCCGCGGGGAGATGATATTAAAATGGGAGGGTCGCGCATAGTATGGGCACATACTCCCTAAGTTTCAGCCTTCTAGCTTTTCTGGTTCTTGAATTGAAAGTGGGTGACAAAAAGTGCGAACGCACAGACACACACACACACGCACATACACACACAGCCTCTTCCCAATATGCGTTTTTACGATTTACATATGTGCAAAAACGCATAACAAAAATACATAAATGCACTTTTTTCCTGCTATTGTGTTGCGCTGTTTATTCCACTTGAGGCTTATCGGAAGAGTGCGATTATTCAGACTATTCTGCTTTTGTTCGATGAGCAAAATCATTAGAGTGGAACGATTTGGTTAGGGGGATGTATTCAATAGGGAATGTAGCAGAATCAACGCCGCAACGGTACTAAATCTACTCATCTCTTCCCGATAACTGGAAGCGCAGTACTTTCTCAGGAGGAGCTTGAAAGGATCACTGTTGTTACAGATCCTGAGCGATGATGAAGTCGGTGAAACTGCTGTGCGAAATCTTAAAAACTTGATATGCGTTTTTGATCAGGTATTGAAATTTTTGCTGTCCCTTTTAAAATGTACCATAGTTTTTAGTATTTTTAAGGCTGGAATTGTATCAGGTGCACATGGATTAGGTTCTCACTCGTCTCAGTTTCTGCGCATTGCAGCCTTTGGCCTCCAATATTTTCAAATTAACTTCACTTCGCCTCCTCTCCCCCAAACATATTTTGCTTCTTTAATCGACTGGTCTAACATGAGATGTAAAAAGCACAACAAGCACTGGGGGAAAATCTTTCGTAAAAAAAAGCTCAATATGACCGTGAAATGGGAACTTATCTTTTCGTAACCAGACCTCTGCGCTTTTCTACGTTTTATTAGCACTTTTAAAACAAGCTTTCTTCTCTTTTCGACATCGTTGCTGTTTTTTGTTGGATGATTCGTTGGTTTGGTGAGCACAGATTGTGATGCAACATCGTGGAATTGAAAAGATTCGCGGCTGCCAGAAGAATTACATTGTTGCTGTCGGCGTCATCCCGGAAGTGTGTAAAAATGTATGTGCTTAGTTTTTCCCCCACTGGGTAAGGAAAGAGCTGACAACAAGGAGTTGTTTTAAAGGTTTTTTGGCTGACGTATTTGTACACGTTTTGTCTTTTCTTTTTTTGTTATTAAATTAAGGTTCGACGACATTATGTAAGTTGGACTGGTGCAGCGGCATACAGAGGAAGAATCGCAAAAGTTTTTCTAAGAAAAGGCAAAAGAAAAATTTCCGGTTTTTCAAGAAAAATTGGAATTATTTCGACACACATATGTCCAGTATCTGCTTACATTTCGCTTGACAGTTTTAATAAATTAAAGAAATCTTTACCTCCTTTTAAATAACTTCCAACTTTTTTTTCGTTCAAAGCGCTGTCTCCTATAAGGAAAACTTCTGGCCATGCCAGTATTAAAGCAAATGAGCATTTAGTGCAGAGATTGACTTTCGGCCAGGAGGGGACAAAGTTGTCAGTTGGAAGATGTTCTTTAAAGCAACTGATGTTAATTTTTAAATGAGGAATCGCAGAGTACTGCGACAACCTCAGTTAGGTCAGAGGCTAGAAAAATTTCTTTTCGCATCAGTAATAGGATTGCAAAGTATTTTCATAATTTGTGAATCAGAAGGCCCATTCCCTCTTCTCTCATTCCTCTCAGAGTTAAAGCCTTTAACCCTATTTTTTCAGAAAAACTAAAATCAGCTAATAAACTGAACGAATCACAAGACGATGTTGGTGCTGTTTGATCGGGAAAAGATAAAATTGGATGGCGCACATTTTCCGGAACTTTGAGGATAGACAACACCCTGCTAATCAGCACTGATTACTACGGAGCTAAATTTAAACAAAATGAATGAAAAAGAAAATTTAAACAAAATTTAAACAAAATGTTTCCAGATCTATGAAAGATTTCGAAATCTGGCATAAAAATTTTTTCTTTGAAAAGTTTTTGGAAAAAATCTGGGGATTAACTGTTCCCTATTATGCATTAATGCCTACGTTTCACTTTAGAAAAATGCCATCGAACGGAAGATTTGTGACAGCTAATTTGTATGTAGTTATTCAGGTCCACGATACGCCATCAACCATTGGCGATTTGCTTGCTGAATTAACGCAATTCGCGCTGAACATTTCGGCATTCGCAGCTGACCACGGTGTATCCTTAAATATTGGTAACTGCGATTACTTTTTTTTTTTTTAACAAGCCGCAGTTTCTTCTATCTCTTGTAATTTTTCTCTTGTTAGAGCAGCATCGATAGCATATTATACATCAACATCATTTAATTAGACTGTCCTTTACATAACTAACTTCAGATGAGTCAGATCAAACACGCAAAACTTGATGGACCGGAGCTTCGTTTACTTAATCCATATTTTGCATCTTATATCCGTCAGAACACAAAAATACATCTCTAAAGATATTGGCTGTTCTGGAGAAGCGTAAAGTACTGCAGTTAGACCACCCGAGTATTCATCGGGATGTTTTAATGCATGAAGACACCCGGGCACTCCGACCTGCTTTTAGCCACCTCAGTTGCTTACTTCGCCGCTTAAAACAAGAGGATTTGCACGAAAATGATAACATAACGACCTCCAGATAATGAAAATTTGGTCACAGTGGTGATGGGAAGGTACCAGCTGCATCGATGGTTTGAAGGTGTATAACAATAGAATGATTTTGGCCAAAATATTAAAGAATTTTCGTATTCTCTGCTTCGTTACTTATCATTTCAGCTTCCCAGATTACGATTTAATAGTACTTTCTTAAATTTTATTATAATACTTTTAAACCCTTAGATATAATTTTAAATATGCCTTTAAACCATACGGTACTCAGTTCACATAAATAAACGTGGTTTTCAAATTTAATGATGTTTTATATGCCATTTTTATAGTACCGTCATTAGCAGTAAAACTAAGATTTTAAAGGAACTGAATGATAAAAATGAAAGTAGAAAGTTTATCGATTCTAGGCATCGACTGTGGACCAGTGCTAGCCACGGTTGTGAATGGACAGCGGCCAACTTATGAGCTAATTGGAAAGCCATGCCTGGGTGCTCGTACGCTCATGCAGCACGCTAACTGCTACGGGATTATGGTTTCGGAAGAAATTTATTTGGCGCTGAGACCTCGAAATTTTAATTTTGATCCAAGACCGATCAAAATATCAAAAACGCTGAACGCCTATGTCTTTGAAGATTGCTACCCGGAAAGCAGTTACCAGGCCGAGCAGACTGACATCACTTCCTCATCAATAGCACCGGAACAACATTCTGCTTCACAAAATCCACTTGAGGTTGATTTCATGTTTTTACCGCTGTTTATTCAAAACTGATGGGTAACTTCCCTTTCGAATTATCCTCAAAACTTCAGTAGTATTGTTGTCATCGAAGTAAATAATGTTTTGTGGAAGAAGACGGACTAGCTACATCTGAAAAAAGACCTTTTTTGCAAGTTCATATTAAATTGATGACTGAGAACAGTTTATCATCTTTTCGTGCAGTTTGGGAAGTCACTTAAACTCCATTATAGTTTTTTGAGCAGTCAGAACTCGTATCTTAACTTGAGTATTTTATAGTTAGAAAAAGATTATAACAGAAAGTAGTAATTAAAAGTAAAAAAAAATGATTTGGAATGTTTCGGTCCATTAAGTTGCATACTCTCCCAGTCAGTGCTGCAACTGGGCCTCGTCACTGCATCGGTTGCAGCAGAAGTATTAAAAGCGTCCAGTGTGGTAAGTTAAAGACAGAAGTGGGAAATGAAGAAAGTAAAAATAAAATTAATAGCTTTAAGGTTAGTATTTTTTAAAAAAAATACCTCCACCATTGCGTTCGTTGATACAATAATAAGAATGCTTATAAATAAAAATAAAAATTAATATTGGAGAGATTTAAAGAACGGTCGTAAAAAAGTCAAGATTACTAAGAAAGTAAAAGGAAGTAAGAGCAGGGAGTCGTCCGCATCGATGTAGTGGAAGATCGAAAAATAGAGCGAAAATAGGGACAGAAAAGAGATAAGGGATTACTAGGCGGGAGGATTTTATTTAAGAGTTTATTAGCGCTGAAATTATTGGGATAAAAGTACAAATAACGAATTAAAAGGGAAGAACATATACCCGAAAAGAGGAAGAACATATACCCTATGTAGGCACACGACCAACGGTTTCGTGCTAGAATGAGTGGCAACCGCAATGAATCTAAATTTATAAGGTGTTTTATGTAGTTTTGGTATTGCACAGAGAAAGGGTAAAGGCGGTTTGCATCCTCTAAAGACAGCCCAAAGCGATGTATTGTACTCTCATGTTTGTTAACTGTGTTTTCTACAGTCTATCTGTTCAGTTTGTATGTCAAATTATTAGGCGTGTGTTGACTATCATACATATCTAATTCTTTGCACAAAATGTTAGCGTAATATCGTTTGCACATGAAAGCATACTTATTAGGAAGCCTTATCTACTACTGCAATAATGTAGAAGTTTATGAGTACTTTGTCTAATATAAGTCTTATTAATATCCCTTGATGCGAGACTGTTTTGTTGTAGTAAACTGAAATAAGCTAAGCAAATTTTTTAAAAACCTTCCCTTCGTAATCGATGATGTCAGTTTGAGGAATAAGTTTTCTGTCATCAAGTACAGAAATAAACTGTCTAAGAGCCTCTTCAAAATTATTGTGTATTTGATCTTGGCTTATGTTGTATGCGAAAATTACAGCCGCTATCTAACAATGATCGTAATAATTTGTTGGAGGTAACATTGGGGTCTCCAGTTATTATATGCCCCACTGGCATGTTTATAAACTTAGAGCTGAAAAATTCACAAGGGAAAGATGCCAAAAATTTGTTTAAACCGTAGTTATCATCAAAAACATTGTCAAGATTTTGTAGCCAAGATGCATAGCTGAAAATAAAATTGCTAAATAGAGAATCATATTTAAAAACCATATGTATTTTAGGAATTTGAGTAACTCTTCTAAAAAACCACTATTCTCTATCGCTAATAAGTCTGTTATAACTAATGCCATTGTAAATAGGTCCAGGATTATGCATACTAATAAAAAATTTATTGGGATGCCTAGGATTTTCTTTGTGTATACTGCATGTATGTTGAATATAAGAATAGATCATAGCTCATGCGTAGTAAAATTCGAGATTACTATTGAATGTGTTGAGCAAAGTGTTTAGTGCACGTTTACTTTGGAATTGCACTCTATTAACAAAGCTACAATACCAAGCTGACTGTCTGTAAAATTGGCAGTGATGAAATTAATGAAATAATTATTAACCGCTTTGGAATTATCCCGTTTTTATGCGTTTTTGCGTAATATGCAAAAACAAATATTGTGACGACCCCGGTGTGAGTGTGTGTGTGTGT